CAGTCTACGCCCAATACCTCGTCTGCTAAGAACACGCGCTCGCCTCGTGACGTCACAGCTAGCTCTCAGCCTGCGCAGGAGACGCTAGTCCTTGCTGCGCGGCGCTCGTAGCTCTCATGCTGCGTCTCGGAGCCTCGCCGCGCGCTCGGGACGCCTCTGGGAACACGCCGCTGCACTTAGTCTGCAAGGTATGGCTGGGGACTACTTTCACTGCCTCGTCTGTGAGGTATCAGGCGCTTGTGACGTCACAGCTACTCCTCAGCCCGCGCCCGCTAAGAACACGTGAATGCCATGTGACGTCACAGCTGGCTCCCTCAGCCCCCAAGTCGGGAGATGCCACTTCTTACTACGTCTGCTCCCAAGCACGCGCCAGTAGATGCTAGTCCTTGCTGCGCGGCGCTTGTGGCTCTCATGCTGCGTCTCGGAGCCTCGCCGCGCGCTCGGGACGCCTCTGGGAACACACCGCTGCACTTAGTCTGCAAGGTGAGGCTAGAGACTACTTACATTGCCTCGTCTGTAAGGTAACACGCACCCGTGACGTCACATCTAGCTCTCAGTCTACACCCGGTACCTAGTCTGCTAAGTAACACGTGCCTGCCATGTGACGTCATAGTCTGCTCCCAAGCCCGCGCCAGTAGATGCAAGGACTGGCATCTAGCTGCCTGCCCTTGTTACTCTCTTGCTGCGTCTGCCTCACTGAGAGCTCGTGAAGTGTAAGCATCTCATCTGTAAGGTAATATGCGCCCGTCACGTTACGTCACAGCTGCTCCCCAGCCCGCGCCCGGTACCTCGTCTGCTAAGTAACACGTGCCTGCCACGTGACGTCACAGCTTGCTCTCAGCCTACGCAGGCGACGCCAGTCCCTGCTGCGCGGCGCTCGTAGCTCTCATGCTGCGTCTCGGAGCCTCGCCGCGCGCTCGGGACGCCTCTGGGAACACGCCGCTGCACCTCGTCTGCAAGGTAAGGCTAGGGACTACTTTCATTGCCTCGTCTGTGAGGTAACACGCACCCGTGACGTCACAGCTGGCTCTCAGTCTACGCCCGGTACCTAGTCTGCTAAGTAACACGTGCCTGCTGCCATGTGACGTCACAGCTAGCTCTCAGTCTACGCCCAATACCTCGTCTGCTAAGAACACGCGCTCGCCTCGTGACGTCACAGCTAGCTCTCAGCCTGCGCCGGCGACGCTAGTCCTTGCTGCGCGGCGCTCGTAGCTCTCATGCTGCGTCTCGGAGCCTCGCCGCGCGCTCGGGACGCCTCTGGGAACACGCCGCTGCACTTAGTCTGCAAGGTATGGCTGGGGACTACTTTCACTGCCTCGTCTGTGAGGTATCAGGCGCTTGTGACGTCACAGCTACTCCTCAGCCCGCGCCCGCTAAGAACACGTGAATGCCATGTGACGTCACAGCTGGCTCCCTCAGCCCCCAAGTCGGGAGATGCCACTTCTTACTACGTCTGCTCCCAAGCACGCGCCAGTAGATGCTAGTCCTTGCTGCGCGGCGCTTGTGGCTCTCATGCTGCGTCTCGGAGCCTCGCCGCGTGCTCGGGACGCCTCTGGGAACACGCCGCTGCACCTCGTCTGCAAGGTGAGGCTAGGGATTTAGGCCCAGAACAGACGGTGAAACGCAACTGCAACGAAACTGCAACTGCTAGTAACTTTTGAGTTGCATCTAAGTTTCTGCTATAGCGTCCGTTGAGAGACCACACATGACGCGACCAGTTTGAAACTTTCAGTTTCAGTTTCATCCATCAGAACCATCAGAAAGTTGCAATTTCGTTTCAGTTGCGTTTCACCGTCTGTTCTGGGCTTTACGAAACGGTTTTCTTCCAAGCCTGACGACGCAAACAGTGCTGCACCTCTATTGCGAGATAACATGCACCCGTGACGTCACAGCTAGCTCTCAGTCTACGCCCGGTACATAGTCTGCTAAGTAACACGTGCCTGCCATGTGACGTCACAGCTAGCTCTCAGCCTGCGCCGGCGACGCCAGTCCTTGCTGCGCGGCGCTCGTAGCTCTTATGCTGCGTCTCGGAGCCTCGCCGCGCGCTCGGGACGCCTCTGGGAACACGCCGCTGCACCTCGTCTGCAAGGTAACATGCGCCCGCCACGTTACGTCACAGCTACTCCTCAGCCCGCGCCCGCTAAGAACACGTGAATGCCATGTGACGTCACAGCTGGCTCCCTCAGCCCCCAAGTCGGGAGATGCCACTTCTTACTACGTCTACTCCCAAGCACGCGCCAGTAGATGCTAGTCCTTGCTGCGCGGCGCTTGTAGCTCTCATGCTGCGTCTCGGAGCCTCGCCGCGCGCTCGGGACGCCTCTGGGAACACACCGCTGCACTTAGTCTGCAAGGTGAGGCTAGAGACTACTTACATTGCCTCGTCTGTAAGGTAACACGCACCCGTGACGTCACATCTAGCTCTCAGTCTACACCCGGTACCTAGTCTGCTAAGTAACACGTGCCTGCCATGTGACGTCATAGTCTGCTCCCAAGCCCGCGCCAGTAGATGCAAGGACTGGCATCTAGCTGCCTGCCCTTGTTACTCTCTTGCTGGGTCTGCCTCACAGAGCTCGTGAAGTGTAAGCATCTCATCTGCAAGGTGATATGCGCCCGCCACATTACGTTACTGCTGCTTTCCAGCCCGCGCACGGTATATCGTCTGCTAAATAACATGCCCGCCATGTGACGTCACAGCTAGCTCTCTGTCTGCGCCCAATACCTCGTCTGCTAAGTAACACGTGAATGCCATGTGACGTCACAGCTTGCTCTCAGCCTGCGCCGGCGACGCTAGTCCTTGCTGCGCGGCGCTCGTAGCTCTCATGCTGCGTCTCGGAGCCTCGCCGCGCGCTCGGGACGCCTCTGGGAACACGCCGCTGCACTTAGTCTGCAAGGTATGGCTGGGGACTACTTTCACTGCCTCGTCTGTGAGGTATCAGGCGCTTGTGACGTCACAGCTACTCCTCAGCCCGCGCCCGCTAAGAACACGTGAATGCCATGTGACGTCACAGCTGGCTCCCTCAGCCCCCAAGTCGGGAGATGCCACTTCTTACTACGTCTGCTCCCAAGCACGCGCCAGTAGATGCTAGTCCTTGCTGCGCGGCGCTTGTGGCTCTCATGCTGCGTCTCGGAGCCTCGCCGCGCGCTCGGGACGCCTCTGGGAACACGCCGCTGCACCTCGTCTGCAAGGTAAGGCTGGGGACTACTTTCATTGCTTCGTCTGTAAGGTAACATGCAGCCGTGACGTCACAGCTAGCTCTCAGTCTACGCCCGTTACCTCGTCTGTTAAGTAACACGTGCCTGTCATGTGACGTCACAGCTTCGCCGGAGACGCCAGTCCTTGCTGCGCGGCGCTTGTCGCTCTCATGCTGCGTCTCGGAGCCTCGCCGCGCGCTCGGGACGCCTCTGGGAACACACCGCTGCACCTCGTCTGCAAGGTAAGGCTGGGGACTACTTTCATTGTTGATTTTCCTCATGCCCGGCGACATTAACAGTGCTGTACCTCTAATGCGAGGTAACACGCGCTCGCCTCGTGACGTCACAGCTAGCTCTCAGTCTACGCCCAGTACCTAGTCTGCTAAGTAACACGTGCCTGCTGCCATGTGACGTCACAGCTAGCTCGCAGCCTGCGCAGGAGATGCCAGTCCCTGCTGCGCGGCGCTTGTCGCTCTTATGCTGCGTCTCAAAGCCTCGCACCCGCCACGTTAAATCACAGCTGCTTTCCAGCCCGCGCCAGGTACATTGTCTGCTAAGTAACATGTGCCTGCCACGTGACGTCACAGGTACCTCGTCTGCTAAGTAACACGTGCCTGCCATGTGACGTCACAGCTAGCTCTCAGCCTGCGCCAGGCGACGCCAGTCCTTGCTGCGCGGCGCTTGTCGCTCTCATGCTGCGTCTCGGAGCCTCGCCGCGCGCTCGGGACACCTCTGGGAACACACCGCTGCATCTCGTCTGCAAGGTAAGGCTGGGGACTACTTTCATTGTTGATTTTCCTCATGCCCGGCGACATAAACAGTGCTGTACCTCTAATGCGAGGTAACACGCGCTCGCCTCGTGACGTCACAGCTAGCTCTCAGTCTACGCCCGGTACCTCGTCTGCTAAGTAACACGTGCCTGCCATGTGACGTCACAGCTAGCTCTCAGCCTGCTCAGGAGACGCCAGTCCTTGCTGCGCGGCGCTCGTAGCTCTCATGCTGCGTCTCGGAGCCTCGCCGCGCGCTCGGGACGCCTCTGGGAACACGCCGCTGCACCTCGTCTGCAAGGTAGGGCTAGGGACTCGGTTACCAGCCGCCCGTCTTGCGATAATCGTCCGCCAAGTTTGCGGGTGACAAACGAAACCGCGGCGGCTGCGTAAACAAACTAGCGGTCACGTGGGTTTTGGAATAAAACGAGCTATTCCGCAGCCGTATGTGCTCTCAGTATGACGTCACACCTCGATCTATCGCGCTCCGTCACCTGATAGCGCCCGCGCTCGTGACGTCACGTGACGTTATCAGCTGGGTCTACTCATCAAGTGATCCGTTAGCCCCTCGTGCTAAGCTAAATAAGATTGTGTTGCCTTAATAGTCAGTGTGGGCTCACTACAATAGTCGAGCGGGCGCACTATAGATCGAAATTGCGATTTATTTACATTCTATTTGAAAAAATTACCTATACCTAAGTTTTTATCTAAAACCAATAGTTTGGCTGGAAAAAAATATTTTCCATTTTCGTTGTATGGAATGAAACATAAAGTAGTCGATTTCGACTAAGCCTTGACAGATCTTGCTTTGAAACTACTTGAGCCTTGTTTTATGGCTTGTTGACTATAATCCTACACTATCAGCGCGCGTACAAAGTTGCCCGTTCACAAGTTCTGAGGTTCTAAAAAATTAAAAAAAGTAAGTAAAAGTGACTCGATCCCCCGTTTCTTAGATCTCGAGTCGTTTTTTCTATCGTCGTTTGAATATATCACACCGCACAACTATACTATAAAGACTAATCTAATTATTTTCATCCCCAGCTCAACCCCTGCCCCGCAGAAGTGGTCCGCGAGTTACTGGACCACGGCGCACATATAGACACGGTGAACTATGAGGGAGACACGCCCGACGACATACTGCGCGCCTCGCAGCAGTCCCTCGCAGCTATCGTCAACCCCCTACGCTACACGAGGTGAGTTCAACCCCCTACGCTACACGAGGTGAGTTCAACCCCCTACGCTACATGAGGTAAGTTCAACCCCCTACGCTACATGAGGTAAGTTCAACCCCCTACGCTACATGAGGTAAGTGTGGTGTCTTAAATAAAACACTGGTATATGTTCACTGTGTAAGCTAGTGCAAGCACTGACGTCCGTCCCGTGTGGCGGCCCGACTACGACTGACCCCCCACCGCGCCATACTAGTTAGTGTTGCCATAGCGCACACTCTTTATTTGTGTAGTAGTACACCACAGTAAGTTCAACCCCCTACGCTACACGAGGTGAGTTCAACCCTCAACCCCTGCCCTGTAGAAGTGGTCAATGAGTTACTGGACCACGACATATCGACACGGTGAACTACGAGGGAGACACGCCCGACGACATACTGCGCGCCTCGCAGCAGTCCCTCGCAGCTATCGTCAACCCCCTACGCTACACGAGGTGAGTTCAACCCTCAACCCCTGCCCTGCAGAAGTGGTTAGTGAGCAGCTAGTCCTCGCCGCAACAGTCAACCCCGTACGTTACACGGACCGTATAAGGGATCTGTGAGCAGCTAGTATTCTCCGCCACCTTCACCTCCCTACGCTACACTAGGTAATTTCAAACCCTCGTCCGTTATTCTTACCCATGAACCGTATAAGGGATCTGTATAAGGAATCTGTGAGCAGCTAGTCCTCGCTGCTATACTCACCCCCATACGCTACACGAGGTAAGTTCACCCCCCACCTCGTTATTTTCACCCCTAGATCAACCCCTGCCCTGCAGAAGTGGTTGCTAGTCTTGCTAGTCCTCGCCGCAATAGTCAACCCCCTTACGTCACAAGGGGTGAATTCACCCCTCATCGAGTTATTCTCACCCCTGAACCGTATAAGGGATCTGTGAGCAGCTAGTCCTCGCTGATATTTTAATTTTTTTTCTTTCTCCAGCCTCAAATGCCTAGCGGCGCGCACGGTGAAGAACTACCGCCTGCCCTACAGACACGTGGTCCCCACCTGCCTACACTCCACCATCATCACGCACTGAGCCGCCAGGTCAGTGACCTCTATGGTCCCTAGCACCACCAGAGATTTGTCCTGCGATCAACAAGATCTTTCAAGTCAACCACTCAATAAAATTGTAGCTGTGAGAAGCGATGACGTCAGCGCGATCTCAACGAATAAAGCACCGGATTGGTCGGTCGGTTAAATTTCCACTTTGACAGATGTCAACATGTCACCCGGTTTGACANGTCAACCCCCTACGCTACACGAGGTGAGTTCAACCCCCTACGATACATGAGGGAAGTTCAACCCCCTACGCTACACGAGGTGAGTTCAACCCCCTACGCTACACGAGGTGAGTTCAACCCCCTACGCTACACGAGGTGAGTTCAACCCCCTACGCTACACGAGGTGAGTTCAACCCCCTACGCTACACGAGGTGAGTTCAACCCCCTACGCTACACGAGGTGAGTTCATCCCCCTATGCTACACGAGGTAAGTTTACCACCCCACCCCGTTATTTTTGCCCCCCTTTTTTGCGTCGGGAAATGCTTTGCGCATGGGTACTGGGCCTGGCTGATGGGGACAGTTAGTCAACGGGTTATGTGGGACTCCCCGCCGGGAGGGCCTACCCACTAAAACCCGACGGTGTCCCCCGTGGCCATTGAAACGAAGCCGCGAGTATTAGATATATGTACGTCCGCGGCTTTATTCTCGCCCCTAGGTCAACCCCTGCCCTGCAGAAGTGGTCAATGAAGGTCAGTGTCAGGAATGGTCAGTTAGTCCTCGCCACAATAATCAACCTCCTACGTCACAAGGGGTGAATTCACCCCTCATCGAGTTATTCTCACCCCTGAACCGTATAAGGGATCTGTGAGCAGCTAGTCCTCGCTGATAATTAAATAAATCTTTTTTTTCTCCAGCCTCAAATGCCTAGCGGCGCGCACGGTGAAGAACTACCGCCTGCCCTACCGACACGTGGTCCCCACCTGCCTACACTCCACCATCATCACGCACTGAGCCGCCAGGTCAGTGACCTCTATGGTCCCTAGCACCACCAGAGATTTGTCCTGCGATCAACAAGATCTTTCAAGTCAACCACTCATTAAAATTGTAGCTGTGAGAAGCGATGACGTCAGCGCGATCTCAACGAATTCAAAGCACCGGATTGGTCGGTCGGTTAAATTTCCACTTTGACAGATGTCAACATGTCACCCTGTTTGACAGATGCAGATGCGAGCGAAACGGTTGTAGTGTATTAGAATTTGAAAATTGATTTTGAGGCTATTATATTGTTTTAGTGCCGATGCCGACGGAATTTTTGAGACCAATTTGATTTGAAAATTGGAGCATTGGAAAAAGCGTGTTTATCTAAAAGCCATATTAATTTTGCAAGCTTGATATTAAATATCCTAACGGTACGCACTGTGCGATTACTAGGCACTTTATTTATAATTTTCAGTGTATTTATTTATGATTGTGCAATTTTAGAAGCTAAATTTGTATAAATTCTTCATTTTGTCGACATAGATCTTTTTGATTTTGAATTTTACATTTCTGATATGTTTAAGCATTGATGATTTATATCATTTTGAGCAATAACTTTATTTTTTCTTACCTACTTATATTTTTATAAATTTTAATACTGCCAGGAATTGACGATTGTTAGACAAGTTTATTTAATAATTTTTAACTTTATCCTTTTTATAATAGTTTTATTGTATTAGGATATAACCTACTGGAATTGCAAATTGAATGTATTGTAAATAGTATATTATTGTGGAATAGTAAATTTCAGTGCTGTGCCGTATAAGTCATGTTGATATTAATCTTATTTCATCGCATTGTAGAGTCGAGTCTTTATTTGATAGAGATAAAACTGTGTATTTGGAGCTTCTTAACTATGTACAAACGACGGTACATCAAGTATAACACTGTGCCACGTAGTGAGTTGTAATACGTGTGATTTTTCGACAAGAATTTGTAACTTGATGTGTTGGCGACTGTATCTAGTGACGGAACGAAATATTTTTTGACATAGTAAGAATATGTGAACCCGCCATCACGATGATATTAAAGCTAACTCAATGTAATAATGCTCAAGCTTATGGTGTAGTCGGTCGAAGTTGCGTCATTTTTATTCTGTGTGTGAGTTACTGTACCGGCTATGAAACAGGATAGCTGTTGTCGTTTTGTTTTTTTTGACCCATATAACACAACAATGGATCCTTTAAATGTTACAGGAAAAGCATTATTTCTTTACTTTTCCAGAAAGTTCTATTAAAATATCAATGTTATAATGTTTACAAAGTTATCCGCGTTCTATTGGGGATTTAAAACAACTTTCGCAATATTTCAATTAGATACTTATTTTAATTTGGGCACAAACTTAAATATTTTTATCTTAACATAACTTTTGACGGATACCCATTGCATCACACTTAATTTAGACCTACAATATAATTATAGTTGGCCGAATAAATCATAATCTAAAAAATAAAGATTTACAAAATTGGGCAGTTTACCATTCATCTATCAGTTAGATTGTTAGATTTTAATAATAAAAAGCTATAAACTGTAGAATCAGTTACTAACAATATTGTCGTCATAAATACCTATTGCTACTAAACCTACGAATTTCATCTTGAGTTTCAAAACTGTGTCATTTATCAACTGCCCAATAATTGAAAATATCTTTATGTAACTGGCATTGATTGTGAATAACTTGCTGACCGTAATGTGCACCATAGTAAATGACAAAATATTAACGGGCAGGTATGGTGGCAGACTTGCCCGCCGGGCATAATTCAAACATAATACTTAAAGTACGTCGCCCGCGCGTATGTATATGCCAAAACGCTATGCCATGTGTATAAGATCGAAACCGGTCTCGCGACCAAGTGATATTTGCTTTTAGTTACTGAGCCTCTCCAGTCTCTATTAGGTTATTTACACACGAATTACACTAAGGACTAGAATAACCGTTCAATTCGTGTGTTATCGGCCTCTAGTCCTATTTTGTATCTTACTACATTCTGGGTAAAATAGTTAATGTCTACGTTTTAATTCGGTTAATCGAAATTGAACTTTATGTGTGTCACCGAGTGATCAATTACGTTTAACGCGTTTATATCGATGTAAAAACAAATTAGAAAAGTAAGTAGAGTATTAGAAATTTTAATTATACGAATAAATTGGTATTGTATATTAGCTAGATGGGTAATATGACAAATTAAACTATTAGAACTGATTCGAAAATAAAAATATTAATTTTATATTTTAATTGTCATGAGCGGTATGCTATATATTGTGTGTATTTTGTCATAGTATATTTGAATTTAGTAATACTGCGTGATTACATGATACTAGTTATTTTTGAAATTAAATAAAATGCTTTAAAATATATCTTGTTTCATTTTTACGCACTTTGAACCGTTTTACATTCTTTCTTAGTCCTATTTTACATTGTATGTAAGTTTAAAATAATACAAATCATTGTTGTTTTATATTTTTATTGTATATAGCAAATTAAATGAAAATATAATTCATTTTATTATAGCTTAATGTAATATTTTGTAATATATGAAATATTTGTGTACTCACACAATATGTATAATGTTAATAAAAAGTTTTACGCTGATTAATAAAAGCGTACAAAGTGATTAAACCAGTTATTTCATACAAAAATAAATTCATTTCGGTTTCACAAAAACCTTCATCAATTCCTGCGGGGCAGTTGCCAGCAAAGTCCTCAAGTCGGTATTCGGAGACCCTGGGAATCGCGTCCACAGATCGTTGGTCACCGCTGCATAGTTTTGCATCAGAACGGCTGCCATGGTGACGCCGTCGGTGTTTTTAATCTTCGCGATTTTCAGTACGAGCGGTAGAGTGATTTTTTTGAGCAGGAGTTTTCTTAGGGCGCATACTAAGGGGAAGAATGTGAATTGGGGGAAGTGTTCTGTTCCTGATACGGCTGAGAGATATAGCTGGCAGCCGATGAGGTCTTCGTTGTTCCATACCAGGCCAAGGGCAGCGGCTTCGCTTGCCACGATGGCTGGGAACCGCAGATGGTTCTCGAAAGCGTACGCGGCCACGAGACCAGTCAAGCGGTTGTAGGTAAACTCGTAGTCTTCCACTGGAATGTTAGCACCAGATGTGTTCTTCACCAGAAGCGGTGTACTGCAAGAAATTTTTGTAAGTATTTATAGTCGTTAAGTTAACCCTAAGGCCCTTTTCCCCTGGTTCGGTTGCCGGCTAACCGGCGCCGGGTACCCGGTGGTGAAGTGGATGCTGGATTAATTACGCCGGTACATGTGAAAGCTACGTACCATGCCCATACACCGGATTAATTACGCCGGTACATGTGAAAGCTACGTACCATGCCCATACACTTCACCACCGGGTACCCGGCGCCGGTTAGCCGGCAACCGGGACATGTGAAAAGGGCCTTACTCTTCCCGCGGGTTTCGTAAGAGGCGACTTAGAGAGCAGGGACTACACATTAATCAAAGAACGGGCAGCAGCACGGCAGTTAAACATCAATCTTAAACTGCGATCTCCAACCTGCCTGCGAAGCGTGGTAATTACGGCAAAATCTTCCACTAAAGTGGAGAAACAACAACTATTTTTTTAATATTGCAAGTTAACTTAAAGATGCAATATTAAAGTCAAAGTATTATTTGCAAAGTATAATAATAAAATTAAAGAGACGAATTGCAGTAGTGTAACAGTTGTTAATGCAACTATATTCAAGTACGCATTTATGATTAAGTAGCTTTCCGCCCGCGGCTTCGCCCGCGTGGAATTTTGTCAGTAAACACAGAAAAACTTTATCGCGGCGTTCCTGTTTCAAAAACCGGGATAAAAACTATCCTATGTCCTTTTTCGGGACTCAAACTATATACAGTGTGTCCGGGCATGTAGTGATCAAACTTTAAGGGCGTAATCTATGGACAATTGTATCGGTGAAAATACTTTAAATTTGGGGCTTGACCTATTNTGGTGAAGTGTATGGGCATGCTGGATTAATTACGCCGGTACATGTGAAAGCTACGTACCATGCCCATACACTTCACCACCGGGTACCCGGCGCCGGTTAGCCGGCAACCGGGACATGTGAAAAGGGCCTTACTCTTACTCTTCCCGCGGGTTTCGTAAGAGGCGACTTAGAGAGCAGGGACTACACATTAAACAGAGAACGGGCAGCACTCTCTGAGAAACATCAATCTTTTAAACTGCGATCTCCAACCCGCCTGCGAAGCGTGGTAATTACGGCAAAATCTTCCACTAAAGTGGAGAAACAACTAATTTTTTAATATTGCAAGTTAACTTAAAGATGCAATATTAAAGTCAAAGTCAAAGTATTTATTTGCAAAGAATAATATTAAAATTAAAGAGACGAATTGCAGTAGTGTAACAGTTGTTAATGCAACTACACTCAACATCAAATAAACCGCACCTTCCGCGACGCGAACTTTAAAGATTTTCTTCTGACACACTCATGGTACCCCGACAATATTGGTGTTAATTGAAAGCTCAATAAATATCCTTAAAGAAAAACACATTTAATTTCTTAATAAAAGATTAACATACTATATTAATGTGACTTGAAAGAAGACCTTACTTTGGGCTCACCTCTGGGATCAATTAGACCAAATTTTATGGTTATAAAACCAAATAATGATTACACGTGTCCTCTTTAACTGGATCCTTCTAAAGACACATTTTTAGGGTAAAAACCTTTCCTTGAATGAAATGAAGTTTAGAACTAGGCTTTTAAATGGTGCCAATATTGGTGGGAAGTGGGGATGCATACGTTTCAAAGTGCTTGTCGCGGGAGGTGCGATTTATTTGACGACGAGTGTATATTCAAGTAGGCATTTATGATTCACTAGCTTTCCGCCCGCGGCTTCGCCCGCGTGGAATTTTGTCTGTCACAGAAAAACTTTATCGCGGCGTTCCTGTTTCAAAAACCGGGATAAAAACTATCCTATGTCCTATAATATATTAAACTATTATGTTGCATTTTTACTATAAAATTATCAGTTCACGGGGCTTATTGCAACAATATCTTTTTTAACGGTAAATAAGATATTGTTGCAAAATCCCGTGAAGTGATAATTTTATCCTGTGTCCTTTTTCGGGACTCAAACTATATCTATGCCAATTTTCATTAAAATTGGTTCAGTGGTTTAGCGAGACAGACAGAGTTACTTTCGCATTTATCATATTAGTATAGAAGTATGGATATAGGTACTAACTTTTTTTCTAGATACATCTTGTCTACCATGACGCTTTCCCCTGGCTCCACGGTCTTCAAGCTCAGCCTTAGCTCGTGTCCCCTGGCCAAAATCTTCTCAATGTTCTCGCTACTCCGCAGGAACTCGGCCTCTCTATACACGGCGTAGAAAGTAGACCCAATGAACTTGGTTGTCTCTTTCTTTTTGTCGGAAAACTCGAATTTCTTCATGCTTCTGTGGAAACAGAAATAGGTTTGTAAAGCCTGGTCCGTGAGCACGTAGAATTTTGTCCAATGACCCCAAGCTACCCATTCTTATCGCTCGCGCGTAATTATATTGCTGTCGCGACTGTTCGACGGGCGCCCGCAGTGAGTGTGCGAGTGCGACAGCAATATAACTACGCGCGAGCGATAAGGATGGGTAGTTTGGGGTAGGCATGGAACATTTCATGAATAGCAGGTGAAAAATCATATGAAATGAATTTCATTAATCACACCTGCTATTTTTCTTCACATAGACTGCTATAATTTCGCAGTCAACGAAATCACGAATCACATGAATTTCATTCATTGATTCAAGCGAAGTCCGTGAGCGCTGCTCTGCTAAGTGACCGAGCGAGTAAGAAGGAATGATTTGATCATGTGCGTGTTAGAAAAGGACAAGAGATGTGATGACGAATGAAACTGAGCATTTTAAATATGAACTTTAAACTCAAAGGAGTAAGGTTTAGATTTCCTTGTCATGATTCGTATGATTTCATTAGATAGCAGGCAGATGAAATGAATGATTTTTCGCTAGTCGCGCGGTTAGAGCTCTTACACACGAGCAGCACATTGACGACAGCAAAGGCGATCGCAGTCGCCGTCACTTGTCGGCAGCTAGCCGTCGACGTGCCCGCAGCAAGCTGTCGACACGTCGACGGCAGACGTCGACGAGTCGACAGCTTGCTGCGGCGACCGTGTCGGCGTACGTCTTTGTACAGGAGCCAGCCAGTTGAAAATTGATTTCATTGAAGAAACACTGTTGTTGCATTTACGTCGTCGTCGACGAAAGAGAAAGAACCGGTCATTGTGGGTTTAAGAAATGTTATTGAATAGAGAACGAGACTACACACACCGACGCCNAAAGCGAGACAGACAGAGTTACTTTCGCATTTATAATATTAGTATAGAAGTATAGAGGTACTAACTTTTTTTCTAGATACATCTTGTCTACCATGACGCTTTCCCCTGGCTCCACGGTCTTCAAGCTCAGCCTTAGCTCGTGTCCCCTGGCCAAAATCTTCTCAATGTTCTCGCTACTCCGCAGGAACTCGGCCTCTCTATACACGGCGTAGAAAGTAGACCCAATGAACTTGGTTGTCTCTTTCTTTTTGTCGGAAAACTCGAATTTCTTCATGCTTCTGTGGAAACAGAAATAGGTTTGTAGACATTCAAATACATGTTGCGATTGGTAGAATACAGGGTGGCCAGTATGAAATAGATTAGAAACCAACCAGGTGAAAGTTGAAAATAATCACAAAATTAACTCTTATCTCCTAAACTAAGCAAAACCGTAAAACATACGAGTACATGGGGGTGATCTAGATACACCTTGATGTAAGCCAATCCAAATTTAGATTCCTTACATTGTAAGGAATCTAAATTTCCCGCGCCCCACCATTTCCCGCGAATGTTTGACTGTTATCGGTACACGCTCATTTGTAGTTAGTATACAGGTTGTTTCTTGTTTTAAGGTGCAAATGGTGCACACTTGTCATGGTTCTCGTGGCCTAAGTATTCGCACGATCCTCGCACCGGCAATCGATAGGTATGAGAAACATCTTATCCTATCATTACGTATCGATTGAAAACTTGAGTTATATTCAGTTACATTGCCTTGTTATTGAGTTATCTTTTAAAGTTTGTTTAGTTTATCATGCTTAGCAATAGGCTAGATGACAAAATTTTAATTATTTGTCCGTCAGACAGGTAGGTAATTAGCAAATATTAGACTTGTCTTTTTATTTTCTTTCATAACTAAATAATAAGTGCTAATCGAATTGATATGTCGCGTGACGTCACTTGGAGTAAAAATGCTCGAAACTAAGCTACACTTACAAAAATTATAGTATGAAAACTTGAGCAAACAATACCCGAATATTCCGATACTTATGTATCTATCACCTCTCACTGCCTTGTCAACCTTTACAAGAAACACCCTGTTCAATATTATTGGCCTATTTAATTTAATGCAATGAAATTATGGAGTAGTAAGCCTGCTGATGCGTGAAAAGAAAGAGATAGTGTAACTAACATAAAAGCGTACTTAAGCAAGCACTTAATTTTAGACACGCCATCTTCTGCTGACTAATCGTACCTACTCGATACAATACTTACCTATGTACATTCTACACAAAAGATAAGAATNAACTGTCATAGCGCCTGCTTAAGGCCGCGGATGCTTTATCTAGGGGGGGTTTGAAAGCCAAATGGCGGCTCCTTTACGCCAGCATTTTGAAAAGCATTGCGCTTTACGGGGCTCTCATATGGGTTGACATCCTCGACAAAAGTCGAGAGGCCCGCTCGAGAAGAGAGGTGGTCCGCCGCGTGGCTCGGAGGACGAGGCGCACGATACCCTCGCAGTGTGTGCGGCGTGGGCTCGAGGCGCTGGGCCGGGACCTCGTGATGGCTAGCATAGTCAAAGCAATGCTGGACAGTAATGAGGGCTGGGCGGCCATAGCCTCCTTCTGCGAAAACGTCATGTTGCAAAATGAGTCCTCGGAGCGAGAGCACGAGGACGAACCAAACGCGCCCTCACTCCGTCGGCGGCGGAGGGGTCAGAGGAGGGGACAATATGATCGCTTCCTGAGGTGGAATTGTGTAAAGCAATCGTTATCATTTGACAGTTCATAACGTACGATTATTCTGTCAAACGCTTTGTTTAACTGACTTTATCGTACGATATGAACTGTCAAATGATAACTATTGTTTTACACAATTCCACCTCTGATTCCCCTCCACGATGATGGTCAGCGGCTGATAGTGTGGGGGTGCCCCCGCCTGCATTGCACACACCATCTCCTCCGTCAGACGGGAACAGCTGCGTGATCCCAGCTGTTCTAAGCGCCCTGAGCTTCTCTTCTCGGAAGCTCTGAGCGCCCGATTTGCCGCCCCCCTGGGCGTGCCGCCCGCGTGCGGTGCACGCATTGCACGCCCGCTTGCGGCGGCCCTGCCTATAATTATGCCTGACCTCAATAATATTGGCTTATTTAAATTAATGCAATGAAATTATGGAGCAGTAAGCCTGCTGATGCGTGAAAAGAAAGAGATAGTGTAACTAACATAAAAGCGTACCTAAGCAAGCACTTAATTTTAGACACGCCATCTTCTGCTGACTAATCGTACCTACTCGATACAATACTTAACTATCACTATGTACATTCTACACAAAATATAAGAATGTTTACGTACTCTATTCATAACCAAGGGTCATTGTACCTACTTGTCGAATTACCTCTATCGTATAAATAAAATGTTATAAGTGCTATTGATTCCCACTCACTGCACACCATAAGTGCGAGTTAAATGTAAACATTTAACTGAGCGCATTATACTACGAGTATTATAAAATAAAGGTAACTATTGTGAAAGGACTAAAATGTTTATTAGATTGTTAAAAGGATGGAAGTAATAAATAACTAGAAAAATAAGTTAGATCTCGCTAAAAAGTTTAATAAAACATCAATTCCGTGTGTCAATAATATGAGATTCGTCTTATTACACTATACCTACTTACCTACTTATTTGTTGACAAAAACGCGAATTAACTTCAAGGAAAGTTAGTTAAATGGATAAAACTCTTGTTAACTTTCTTTAATAGATAAAATCATTATTGTTTACTTACTAATCTTACTATGTGTGTTATTATTTATCAGTTTAAAAATAGCACTTTGTTTGTTTTTGATAAAAAGTTAGGTATGTAAGACATTGATACCTACTTTGGCCTTCTAATGAAAAAGTGCAACTCACCTGATTTTTTCACTGAACAGCTACAAAATAACTTTATTTTGGTGTTATAGCACAGAATACACAAAACTGCGTCCGAATTGTCGAATATCTTGAAACAGAAGCACTCTCTAATCTGTGAACAGACTGAATGACTCACGAACACATTAATAAATACCTCTAAAATACAAAACATTAGCTAATATGGCATGGCATTGTATTGCTACAAACAGTCGTGGCCATTCTTATCTTAACAAGCTGTCGCTTTCATCCAGCATTCTATAATTAACACGTTTTAATTTTGCGCTTTACAAAAGCGCTTTATTACTTGAGAGACGGGAGCGGCGTGACTCTATGCCTGCTATGCTCTATGCTCAGTACTTACCCTGCGTAGTGCTTTGTTTTTAAAAGCTGATAATCGACTTGGGTTGTGGTATCGCGTCCAATGATGTAATCGATTCATTCAATTTATATTCGGACTCGATTATCAAAAGCCTAGTTGGTTGAACTCGCTTGGAAAAGAAACAGTTTTATGGAAACAGTCAATAAATGTATTTATGATGCATTCATCATTTCGCTTATGGTTATTTTTGTGGTACCCTTATCGACTTTGAAGTTTCCTATAATTAGACTGTCGTATCTAGATTAATTATTAGCATTGTTTCCAATTGTCTAATTATAGCGTTCTTTTTATGATTTTTATTATTACATACTTTGCTTTGGAGTTTGGTGTTATTTATTAAATAGATATTTAAAAGTAGGTATTCAACATTTTGAAAACTTAGTTAAAGTGCTTTATTTCTCTGTTTATTTCCAATAAACCTCATTCGTCGAAAACATAAACACAAATAAACGCTGCGAGTTTATCTTCAACACGAGGAGCCATTACACTCGGTGGCGCGAAACTGCCCTATTTTGTAAGTATAAAGGAATACATTTGTCAAAATTACCGCTCGCGCGGAATAACTAGACGGCACACAACGGCTCTCGTTAGTCGCGCATTTCGTGGCCCCACCTCATACATTTTTATGAGAGGCTATATTATCCACCCATGTCTTGGTGTCAAGTTGTGCTGTTGCTAGGCAGACCTTTTCAATGTGGATTAATGGTAGGAGTAGTTTGCCACTGCGTTGTCAAAATTCAAGTATAGTCAAACAAAATAAAGTTTGCGTTAAAAGTCGTATAGTGGGAATCGAACCCACGACCCTTCGCTTGCTCACTTATGACATCGTGGGTTCGATTCCCATCTCAGGCGATTCAAGTTATTTAAAATTCACCAAGAAATAGGTACTACTACAGTTTTACATTTATCAGCACGATTTTTTGTTTCTCGCCCTTATTTACTAACTTACTTAAGTACTTCCTAGGCTCTTAAATAAATAATAAGTTGATGATCGAGTTTAATCAATGAAACCACGTGTAATTAAAAAAAAGTTTTACTTACTGAAGTACCTGCTAGTTACTCTTAATATTTTTTTTAAAACTAAGTCCTTTATCGTAATGCGGACTAAAACCAGATCACTAGACTAGTATGCTATGCGATAATCATTAGTTTATCTAAATTAATTAGTTCAAAAAGAATAACCTAACTATAGATTTTCGCCAGGTCGCCACGACAATATGTTTTAGATAATTATTACCTATCGTCGTTTAAGTTCTATCACCACGTAAGTAATTTTTTGGCGGTTATGCCATTTCGATGCCATTCGTTAGAGAATTGAAAGACACGCGGTTTCGCCCAATCTCCTGAAAAGTTGCAAAAAATGACTTACGTGGTGGTAGAACTTAAACGACGCTATATTTCTAAACTGTCTTTATGTGTTTCTTTTCTTGTGTCGTTTACTGAGACTTAAAAATCGTCGACATTGTAACGTGATAATATTTCTATTATAGCTTGTGCAGTAACATACTGGATACTTAAGGTACTATGAAGTATTTGGATTAAGGTAATAAAAGGTAACGCTAAGCCGATCAGAAAATCTGTCGTTTCTTTAAATCAAATCGTACATTTACAAAGCCGATCGGTTGTATTGCTGCAATCCGCTGACGTTGCAATTAGACGACGGCTTAATAGCATTGTTTGGTGATTTGATACAGCACAAGTGGAGTTAGTAGGCTCATTTACTTATCTATTAATACAGTTACAGTACATAGAATATCACTTAAAGGAAAAATACAGCTGCAAATCACTTATAAATCTACGAACCAGTTACAATGTTCACAGTTTATGCCTTATATCAGTGGTTACATATTATCTGCCCTGTAAGTGCCTATTCACTCTCGTCTTGAAAAGGCCCGGATTATAGTGTTATTAGTAGGTACATTAATTTCAGACAACGTGCATGTGGATGTAAATAAGACTGACGAATTTGTGAACTATACTTCCAAAAAGCATCTTTTATGGCTCTATACTCGCTGAAGACTGGTCCATAGCCCGGCTTGAACCTTAGTTTAAACCCAGCCAAGCCCAAGGGCCAGGATGAACGCCGTGATAAAATCTTATCGATAAAATTAGACGACAAATGTATGGGCTTATCGCGTAAAATCGATAAAATGTCGCAATAAAAGCTTATCGCGGCGCGCATCCTAGGCCAGTCTTTATAAGAAATAGTGAATACAAAAAACTGCAATCTTAAATCCACTTGCGCATTTTAAAACCGCGAGCCCACTGTCCAATTTTATGATGTTTGACAGATTTTCATGTTTGCTTTTAATATAATTGTGTATCAGTTTATCTGAGGCTTAGAGGATTACACGGGCGCCGCCGGCCGCTAAATTGAATTGTAATATGGTATCGTTATTAATAACTCCGGTGGGGTGCAGGGCTGTGCCAGAGTTTACAGATTTACTCAGTTTAAAGGAAAATCTTACTCTATTAATATGGCTTGCCCGACGGATCAGCAAGCTGAAGTGGCAGTGGGCAGGGCACATAGTACGCAGAACTGACGGCCGATGGGGCAGCAAGGTTCTGGAATGGAGGCCACGTACCGGAAAACGCAGCGTGGGACGTCCACCCACAAGGTGGACCGACGACCTGATAAAGGTAGCAGGAAGGCGCTGGATGCAGGCCGCTACCAACCGTTCGATGTGGAAGACATTGGGGGAGGCCTATGTTCAGCAGTAGACGTCCTGTGGCTGAAATGATGATGTTGATGGCTTGCCCGTGAAAGATTGTAGCAGTAATGTGGTAAAGTAAAGGCTTTCTTGTAGAAGTAAAACTTAAGCAAGATTTTCCATTGAAAAAGAGCAATTTTGCTTGCCGGCCGATTGTTCTATTTTTTTACTGAGCTGTAAGACGAAAGTGTTATTATTTTTACGCCACGATAGCATAGACATTTTTAATCGCTCTCAAAACCTTTGACCACAGAGGCAATTAAACTCTATTTATCTCAAAACTCTACCTACCGTAAAAACTGCATAGAGTTAAACGTAGCATCATTCTTAAGGGTTAATAAATTACATATTTTATAAATAACCAATCAACCTCTATTGTACCGAAGAACTTTATCTCCAGCATTTCAACCCTATCAGATCCTGCAACCGCGCTCGCCGGAGCGTGCCATTTTTTCCGCAAATTTTAAGCGTCTCCCCGTATTCCACGAATCAGCTATATTTGTACAATAACTGCCCGCCTGGGATCGCTCCGGGCACAATAGGTTCTTTGTTTAACGACGTATTTCTATTGCGCGCGTGCTGAGTTTTTTGAATGGGACCCATTTCACCCGGGCCGAGGTTAGTTTTGCACATGCCTATTATAGGGTTGACATACGTTTCCTATTGTAATTGAATGTTTACGCGGAATTAAGTTTTTATTGTTGTTATGAGCGTTTATGAAGTTGTTAGTCTTGCTAGTTTGGACGTGGAAACACTTGGTTAGTGTTTCTTTCGAAGCTTTTGTAGACCTAGTGTGCTTCTTACTTATAAAATCTTTTCAGTAGGTAACTTATCTTTCGTTTAAATTGAACACTTATGTACTTCTATTACACAAAATAACTAATCTTAGCTTTAAGCAAATTTAAGCAAGGAATAAGTAAAGATTAGCATTACATTTTATATGCTAAGTACCTACTGAATTTAAAGTGGCTAAAGGTGATGTACTATTTATTTATTTAGCTGAAATGTCGATGAGAGATCGCCTCAACCAAATTAAATATTTACGAACGTATTGTAATTGCATCCAGCCATTGTAAATTATTTCTCCACTGCAATAACCAGCTTAAACTGTAATACGGTTAACAAACCGATTGCGGGACATTGAGTTATAATGTATGTTGCGGGAGCATCGAAACGTCCATTATTTCTCCACAAAGCGATCCCACAATATTTGCCTTTACGTTTGCGCACAGTAATCGTGTTAGTGGTCGCCACCATAATATTTGTATGGTTTTGTACCACGAACTCCTCCTATATTGTTCTGATTATTCGTTGCGGTTCCAATGACAGTTTAATAACTTTCTCCCGGGACAAACTTGACCGTCACCGGTTGGGTTTTTATTGCCGGTCAAGCTGTAGATTCTGACTATACAGAAGTTGCAGCGGTGGAAATAGTCCCGTTGGTTTTGTACTAACAAAGTTTGTTCGTTCCTACGATCTTTTCAACCAAATGACATCTATTGGACAAAGGCCTCCCTCAAGGATTTCCATAACAACCGGTCGTTGCTGCCCGCATCCAGGTGTTTTCCGCGACTTTCACTAGCTCGTCGGTGCACCTAGTGGGAGTTAGACGTAGTGTAGGCAGACCTACACTGCGTGTACTGGCCCGTAGCAAGAACTGTTGAGACTATTCAAAAAATTTTTTTACAGTTAGGTATCTGGGGAGATAACATTTTTTCTATAACTTGAACGCAAGCTTAATTCCATTTCATTGCAATGATTTAAGCGCACCCTATATTCCATAGACTCTCTCTAACTAAGAAGGCCTTTTTCGGTAATCATTCGCCAGTAATCGCTTTACCACAAACGCTATTTACCGCTCCACCAAGTTTTGTCGTAAATATAATGTACAACTTAACGAGACGGTTCGGTAGTCACTGGCTGAAGGAAGACTCATGTATAATAGCTGTGATTATAAGAACTATTATATTTCTTACATCCATTTATTGCGGTGAGATGTAGGTACATTATTAATTATGTTGGACAAAATAAGAAAATAAAGTGACATTAGGTATTTTTCGACAACTGTGGATTCGTTTTTGATCACTCATTTACTGTTTTAACGCATCTTCGACTTTTGAAGAATAATGTCAGAAAACATTCATAA